GGGGCGGCCGTCGCTCGGCCAGGTCATCCTCCTGGGGACCAGCTCGGTCGTCACCGCCGTCCTGTACTCCGTGTACCGGCAGAAGGCCCAGGTCGCCCAGGAGCTCAAGGTCAGTGCTGGGGCGCCGGGCCCGCCGGTCACGTCCGGCCCCGTCGCAACGGTCGGGAACTTTCCAGAAGAGGAAGCAGGCCCGAGAGGCGCCGAGCGGCTCTCCTGACGGCCCTTTTATTCTGAGCGCCGCCCGCTGCCCTCGGGAGGAATGTGGATTTCACGACGTCACCCGCCAGTGTTTACTGGACGCCCGCTGTGCCCGGGCACCGGGTGGGCGCGGGACGGGGCGGGGGGTTGGGGGGGCGGTGGGTGCTGCCGCGTAGTCAGCCCTGAGAGGATGGCATGCTGGCGAGAGGGAGGGGACCCCAGCAGGGACCCCAGCAGGGCCCCGAGCAGAAGGCGGAGACCAGACGCTCGTCTTGGGGTGGGATCAGCGCAGGGAGCAACGTGCGGAGACCCTGGATTTTGCCCTCTCAGCTCCTTGCAGCTGCTGGCGCACTTCCTCTTTCATAATACAGTGGTCAGAAATAACTCGTGTTCTCGAGTTGTCCTTCACCGCTTACCCAACCCATAGCCATCTTGATTTTAATCTCCTGTACACAGTAATTTCTTGAGCTAGGAGAGATGGCAACGACCTCCAGACTGCATCAGGACCTGGCGTTGCCCAGGAGAGAGAGGTCTGGAGGCTTGTCAGCCCGGAACTTGCACTTCCTGTTTAGATATCAAGTGTGGGCATTTTCCTTGCCTGGCCACATTTGTGGTGAGTCTGACTGCCATGAGATAAACCTCTAGTCACAGACAGGAGCGTTTGCCCTCCGTCCCTCAGTGTCTGACGAACAGTAGAGGTGCAGTAAATGCTGGGGCTTGTTTTGGCTGAAATTTCATAACACAACAGGTCTTCTCAATCATTTATCTGAAAGATTCGTAAACCTGATGACTAGCTTCATTATCACCAGCTTGTTTTCAGCAAGGGCTTAGAAACCCATGTGTGAAATCCCTGCGATGACAGGAGTCTCAGGAAAGAACCGAGTTTCCAAGCCATTGAACTTGGCAGGTGCCAGCTTCCTAGTGAGATCCTGGCCCCCCAGGTGTTCCCACCCTCAGTAAATTACCCAGAGTGACTGCTCAGAGTGTAACTGATGCTTCACCTCTGACTCCAAAAGTCAGAGTTGGCCTTGGCTAGATGCAGGAGTCTTCAAAGCAGGGTACTCCCCGGGACCCAAACTTTGAGGCGCCTTAAAAACTGCCAGAGTTCCTTAGTGAGGATAAAACAGCCCTTTCTGCAAATGAGTTGAAACTTAGTACTTACGCAGTTTTGGTCAGAAATCATCCACAGATTTCTCTGCGCACCTCTCACACGGATGGGAATGCGTATTTATTGCTTCCCTGGTGTGTGCCAACTCTTGAACGGCATTCTCACCTACTTTATGTTTCAGTTAATCCACGAAAATCCTGGGAGATTGCTTGCATGTCCTTTCCAGTTTTAGGAACTGAGACTCAGATCATGAAGGCGTCCGTAGTCATGAGAGGTGCCCTGAAGCTTGATTACCTACAGACCCTCTGCCCGTGTCACCCTGCTTCCCTCCCCTTCTGCAGATGGCACAGAACTGCCCCCTGCCTGCCAATTCTGGGACACAATCACATGTTCTGGAGTCCCCTTCTTGCCGGATTTCCTTATTCTGTCTGTGAAGAAAAAGTCTATAATCTTTACTTATGTCCTATTGATTTGATTGAGATGTCAGTATTCAGTAGTCAGTTTAATATGTTGTTTGTTTTCAGGGAGCTAGAAAAATCCACTTGGGTGAAGACTTAAAGAGTATTCTTTCAGAAGCTCCAGGAAAATGCGTGCCTTATGCTGTGATTGAAGGTACGTTTATTTCCCTGTACAATGAAAAATAGCTTCCTTCTTTCAAGTGTTTGCTAGAGATCCGGGGTGATGTTAAGGGCCTTGTGTAGCCTTGGGACTGTGGCTCAGCATGTGGACTTTGGGGTTAGTTTGTGTTGTTATGTTCTCAAGGAAATCCCCTACTCTTTTCAAACCTTTGTTGGTCACCCCTGAGGTCATTCCTACCAGCGGTGCATTTAGGCGCTGAGCTGACGTGGTCGTGTACAGTGCTGGTCAGAGTGACTGCAGGACAGTCCCTTCATTCCACCAGTCAGAGTAACACAAACAACAAATTTAAATTACACAGTTGCTCAGAAATAAAAGAACTTGTTTCCTTATAGGTGCTGTTCGGTCTGTTAAAGAAACACTGAACAGCCAGTTCGTGGAGAACTGCAAGGGTGTGATTCAGCGGCTGACGCTGCAGGAGCACAAGATGGTGTGGAACCGCACGACCCACCTTTGGTACGGACCCTCCTCTGCCCCCGGGGCTGGGTGGTCCCCTCTGATGCAGAGGCAGACCCCTGGGCTCCATGCCGACCGCTGGAGCACCCACAGAATTCCCAGAAAGGGGGCCCGCGGTGTCCACTCAGGGTTGAGTGTGTGGGTTTGAGGCGTGGATGATGATCTCGGTGTTGCTAAAAGAACTGTGCCATTACCTTTCCTCTGGGTGTACCCCCCCACACATCATTTTTTACATGTATATATAAAACTAAATTAAAATTTTCAATTGTGGGTAAAACACTGACTAGGAGATCTACCCTGTGAACACATTTTTAAGCACAATAAGCCAGTAACATGGACTAGAGGCACAAAGTTGCACTCTGCATCTCTGGAATTTGTCTTGTGGAATTGAAGTTTTACGCCCATTGAATAGCAATTCTGTTTTCTTCTCCTCACACCTCCTGGAAACCACAACTTTCTCTGTTTCTTTGACGATTTAGATTCCTAAATGGAATCGCAGCATTCCCTGATGCCTGTGAGTGGCTCAGGCTGCTGTGGCAGGGATTTCTTTTCTAGGACTGGGAAATAGTCTGTATGTCACATTTTCTTTATTCGCTCACCTGGAGGCACTTAGGTGGCCACCTTGTCTTGGCTGCGGGAGGGGCCAAGCCACAGTCGGCAGCGATGGGACCAGCCTGCCGGCACAGGTCTCCCCACTCAGAGGAGAGCACCCCAGGCCGCCTCTGCTCGGCCCAGCTCCTGTGAGGTGAAGAGGCACCTTGCGTTCACTCACATGGAAAACTGTCCGGGTGTTTCACCTGTTCAGTCATACCGAATGGTACATAAGGCCTAAAGTAATACCGGCTACGATAGAAGCGGGAAAACTCAAGAATACAGAGCCTGTGTAGATAAAGTGCAGGCCAACCTTGGTGACACTGCGGGTTCATTTCTAGACAGGCGGAATCAAGTGAGTCCTAAGAATTTGGTGTCCTTGCGCATATAAAAATATTTGTTCCACGATGGCCTACTGGGTGTGCCAGAGCATCGTCTTCAGTAGAAGCGCATGCCTGAATTATGAAAGATGGCATCGCTAAAGATTGCCAACCTTCTGAGCTGCCAGAGAGTCTAAATCGTTTTTTGCTGGTGGAGAGTCTTGTAAGACCACTGTCTGCAAAGCACAGCAGCAGCGAAGCGAAGCCCAGTGAGATGAGGCGTATCGAGTCCCGGGGAGCGCCATCGGGTGCTCTTTCTGCTTTTGCCCTTTTGTTGAAAAGTGCAAATTCTCTTTGGATTTTTTTCAGTTAGCAAAACAGGTACCGATGTGGTCTTCCATATACCTGAGCTTTCATAAAGTGGAATTTGCCGAAAGCAGAGGGTATCTGTGTCTCTCTGAGATCTCGGCTTCGGTTCTTGGGGTGGGTTCTTGAAAAGTGGGAACTGGGTCACGTAGTAGTTCTGCTTTTAGCTTCTGAGGAATTGAATATTGACGTTAAGGTGGCAGAGGGAATAGCCAGGGCGCGCTGTGACAGTGCGTGAAAACCGAAGAAGCAGCTTCCCTGTGCAGAGGTGCTGGATCCCAGTGACCGTTGCGGGCTTCAGACTCCAGCCTGGGCAGGCCCTGCGCCCTCCGACCCTGCAGGGCAAGCTCTTGGCCGTTTTTGTCTTATCTTGAGTTCTCTTACTGTTGTAGGAATGACTGCTCAAAAATCATTCACCAGAGGACCAACACCGTGCCCTTTGACCTGGTGCTGCACGAGGATGGGGGCGCCGTGGCCGTGCGAGTGCTGAAGCCCCTGGACTCGCTCGACCTGGGCCTGGAGACGGTGTACGAGAAGTTCCACCCCTCCATCCAGTCCTTCACTGATGTCATCGGCCACTACATCAGCGGCGAGCGGCCCAAAGGCATCCAGGAGACGGAGGAGATGCTGAAGGTGGGGGCCACCCTCACCGGGGTGGGGGAGCTGGTCCTGGACAGCAACTCCGTCCGCTTGCAGCCCCCCAAGCAGGGCATGCAGTACTATCTCAGCAGCCAGGACTTCGACAGCCTGCTGCAGAGGCAGGAGTCAAGCGTCAGGCTCTGGAAGGTCCTGACGCTGGTGTTTGGCTTTGCCACCTGTGCCACCCTCTTCTTCATCCTCCGAAAGCAGTACCTGCAGCGGCAGGAGCGCCTGCGCCTCAAGCAGTTGGAGGAGGAGTTCCGGGAGCACGAGGCCCAGCTGCTGAGCCGAGCCAAGCCCGAGGACAGGGAGAGTCTGAAGAACGCCTGCGTGGTGTGTCTGAGCAGCTTCCGCTCGTGCGTCTTTCTGGAGTGCGGGCACATCTGCTCCTGCACGGAGTGCTACCGCGCCCTGCCCGAGCCCAGGAGGTGCCCCATCTGCAGGCAGGACATCACCAGGGTGGTCCCCTTGTACAACAGCTAACGGCCTGGGAGCCCAACACCCGCCCCTGCGGGGTTGTTGTCTGGGCAGAGCTGCCGCGGGGCAGCCGTTCAGGAAGGGGCCCTCGGGGCTCTGCACACTGCTCATCTTCAGCCACAGGATGTGCCTTCCCGCCCTGGGGGCTCTTTACAGCCCAGAGTGTGGGATGGAAGCCCCCAGGGTAGTGTGGAGCGTGGCACTGCCCCCGGGAGGCCCCTCATTTCTTAAGTGCCAGAGCCAGTGACCTTCAGCTCTTCCGCTCCCGTGTTCTCTGGTCCCTTCTGCTGGCCAGTTGGCGCCTGTGGACTTGGGCTTGGTGACTCAGCCAGAGGGGGCAGCGCTGCTTGGCAGTGTTGCCTTGGCGGGGGGGACGCTGTCAGTCTTTCTTTTGCTTACACTTTAGGAAAAATCGTTAGGCCAATCCTGTCGCTTGTGCCCCCTGCCCTCGCCTGCTGGCCGCCTCACTGTGTGCCACATCAGTAAGGACAAAAAGGGAGAGCCAGCCTTTCCCCCCGAACAGGTGGGACCCTAGAGCGGCCCCTCGAAGAGCTGTTGGCACTGTGGCCTTTCAGCGGTGAAGACGGGCCAGCTCGCTGCAGCCACCGGGTCTCCCCTGGCCCCGAGGGCCGGCCACTGGCTCACACTCCGCCCGATTTGGATTTCTCCCACCCAGGGGAGAGCGGCTCTGGTTTTCCCGATCTGACGTGAGCTGGAAAGCTGAAGGAAGCGAAGAGGACCTTGCTGCCTGCCTCCGGCTCCCTCAGCCGCGCCCAGGCTCACCAAGGAGAAGTAACCTGCTTCGACTGAGCAGGGGCCTGGGCCAGTCACCTTCCCTGCAGCAGTTGGCATCCCGCGGGTGTGAGCATCTTGCCCCACTCACCCGCCTCCCATCTTGGGCGAGGGTGTCAGACAAGTGGGCCCCTCTCTCACCACCTGTGTGCACAGCTCTTCCTTCCCCCGCTGTGAATGGTCATCCCCGTCCTCTGTGGGGGGGTGGGGGTGCTCTCCAGGGTGACACCGGCACTGCAGCGTCCGGCGCAGAGGGGACACATTAAACACGCTCAGCCAAGGGGTCGCCTGCTGCCTCGTCTACAGCAGTTCGGAGGCGGGCCGGGGCTTCTGTGGGAGGGAACCGAACCTGATGTGACGTGAACCGGGGCCCTGGAGGCCTGTGTGAGTCCTCTGCCTTCAGGTGGTTTGGGGCTCCCCCAGAGCGTATGCAGCTTGGCGGTGCTGAAGTGCAGGGGTGTCCCAGGCTGTCCTGGGGAGCAGGCCTCTGAAGTGTCCCAGATCCTCAGGTGCGGCAGTGAGATTTCACCTGTGGAGAGACGGGATGAGTAGCGTGACAGGCACAGCAGGGTGAATGCGATGCTTAGTGGGAGTTATGAGAGTACGCGGTGCCTTTCAGACTTGGGTTTGAGTGTGAGTTAATCCTCACATCTCCCTGCAGTCGCTCACGGTGTCTAGTCTACAGACCGGAAGTAAGCTAAAGGGCAAGTTCCCTCAGGGGGGCACACTTCTAAGGGGAGGCGAGCCCACATTTAAACAGACCCTCCTGCTTACTAGCAGTGGGGCCCTCTGCACACAGGAGCACCCCACAAGATGCTTGTTTCCCAGGTTAGTGCAGAACACCACCTGGTGGAGGAACAGGTGGAAGCGAGACCCCACTTGCTGTTTCTGAGTCCTGGCACGAGGGTTTAAGGCCCTTGTTTTACATAGGCCCCAGGGGCCTTGGTTGGGCAGCGTGATCCATGGCAGTGTCCTGGTACCTCAGAGGCGTCTGCCCTTCCCCTGCCCTCGACCTAGGGTGCTTGGTCCAGGGCCCAGGTGCTTGAGGCTGTGCTGCCTGGGAGTTCAGCTCTTGGCAGAGGCTTCACGAGAAATCTTATCACTGGCTGAAAAGAAGGGACAGCGCCGGCTCTTGCCCAGCCCAACTGAAATCTAGGTCAGACAAGAATTGTTGGATTACTGGGGTGTTCCTCCAGCTCCCCGCCAGGGGAGTAGCCAGAGCAGTGCACTGTCCTGCCTTGGGGAGGGCCAGCTGGCTGGGAACATGGGCACGGCCAGATTCTGGATCTGCCCTCTGCCCTGTGCCAGCCTTTGCTATCTCCCCTCCAAGGGAGCCTCATCTCCAGGAAGGATGGGTGGGGCCTAGACTGATGTCAGGACATGGGTGGGTGTGGGAGGCAGGGCAGAGGAAGTAGGAAGTTACTTCTGAACTGACTGGTCTTGCTGGGAATTTTGGTTCTTTGCTAAGGCAACACTGGCTCCATCCCTTTAGCTGTAGCAGGGGTAACCTTGGTGACTACTCCTGGGGTTTTGAGTACTTGGGCCGGGCACGTCATATATATTAGCCCTTGCAGCTTCTATAAAGTGGCTGTTGTGTCCCCCATTTTGCAAGTGAGGCTCAGAGGGGTAGTTTTAGAGCCTAGAGCCACACGTCATCACAAGCCAGGCAGTGGCGTTCCTTCCAGGCATTGTTTTCACGGAACTAGAACCAGCTTGAAAGGGCTTCATTGTGCTTCGAACAGATGATGTGATTTGCTGAGGCCCCCGTGGTCAGAGGCTAAGAAGGCAAGCGTGCAGGAGTCAAGGGGATAGTCCCACAGTGTTTCCGGGCCAGCCGGCACCTTGGGACTCACCAGCTGTCCTCTGGGGACTCACCAGCTGTCCTGGAGTACAGGTGGCCGGTGGAGGCTTTCCTGTTCACCAGCTTATCCTCGGGGTGGGGAGCTGGGAGGAGACAGCTGGAAAGCAGGTCTTTGTAATCCTAATTCATTTGAATCTGGCTGAAAAGTTTAAAAAGCAAACAACAGCATAGGCAACCTCACATGCACTTTCTGGGCTGTGAAGACTCCAGTTGGACCACAGCTTTGATGCTGATGCCATGGGGCCTCGAGTGTTCCAGAAAGAGCCTGCCATCTTGGTAGCGGTGATGGGCATTTGTTCTCTAACATACAGTTGCTGCCTATGTTACATGCCTGGAGGTACAGAAGTGAGCAAGACAGCCCCTGCTCTCAAAGGGCTCAGGCTTGTTTTTCAGTGTTGCCCCATGACTCTGCTGTTGGGAATATTTGTGGCTCAGAGAATATCGTAGCTGGGAGGAGTCTCGGACATTGACCCAGTTAGAGCAGCCTGAGAACCATTCAGCCAGGCCTGAGGTCACGCTGAAGGTGTGTCAAGCAGAGTGACACCCTCCTCAGGGCCCATGTCCCCTGCTTAAACCCCCCAGGTCCCATGGCTTCCCCAGCCCACGCCTGGCTCCTGCGTGGCATCCGAGGGCCTGCATTCCTCAGCGCTGTTTTGTCTCACCAGCTCCAGAACTCGGAGCCATGGAGGGTCCTTAACTGTGCCATGCTGTTCCCTGCTTCCAGTCTTTATTTCTGCTGACTGGCTCTGGAATCCTGGGCCTTTTCACCCTTTGAAACTCAGCTGTAGGTGTCTCTAGAAAAAACCCCTGACCCTCGCCATCTCGACTGGGTTAGGGTCCCGCGCCCTGGAGTCCTCATTCCTGCTCTCAGCTGTATCGCCCATGTCTTGGGTGGGAACTGTGTCTTGTGTTCCTTCTCCAGAACAATTTTAGTTAATCACTCACTGTGTGCTGACTAGGGCTGACGGTGGGTCTTGCTCTTTACAAGGAGTCTGCTGAGCACTGTATGTGGTTGGTGTCACTAAATCCTCACCATGAGGTATGTTGTATTACGCTGTAAAGAGCAAAAAGGAAACCAAGGTCCAGAGAGGCGGAGTGTCTTGCCTAAGCAAATGAGAGCCCAGGCAGTCTGCACCAGCACCCACCCCCTCTACCTCTGAATGCATATGGAGAGAAGAAGAAAGCCACTGAGTGAAGGGGTACTGTTAGCATACAACCGAGGGGTATGAAGGCCCCCCCGCCCCAAATTTGCACGCTTTAAAGGGATTCTGCCGTGGACTCTTTAGTAGAATTAGTATGGCAAGAGAGGACATACCTAATAAGAATGTTCCATGACAACACCTCAAATTATCCATGCTCTCGTGGGCAAGTGCCCAGCTCAATGGGGTCAACAATCAGGACCACTGAGCTCCAAAAACCTGCCACAAGTCTAAGGCGCTGGGAACAGCAAGAAGGGGTCCAGGTAGGACTGTGGAAAAGGAGCAAAATCAAAGCACACATCAAGGTACGGCTGCTGCTGTCTGCCAAGGACAGACTTCCCAGGTGTCCAGGTAGCTCTTCCCGAATTCTACACATCTCTCCTCCACATCCTTCCCAAGTCCCTGGGTGCCAGTCAAAGCCAGAGGAGCCCACCTGTATCTGGCTTCTCTGGGCTGCTCAGCTCTGCCCTTCAATCCCAGTAGCCAGTTCAAGGCAGTGCATGGAAGTGGGGGTGGGGAAACACCTATTCCCAGCCTGCAATGCTCGTCCCTACTACGGGGGCCTCTGTAACTCTGCAACAATCCTGGAAGGCTGCCTGGAGGAATTGGTTTTGAACTTGAGATAAAGGCCAAGACTTGGCTATAAGGTGTGAGGGAAGGGCCTCTGGCAGCGCCCGGGAGCTTAGGTGGTTGAGTTATGCAGGAGAAACATCACATCCAGTGACCTGTCCAGAGTTCTGAGGACGCCACGCAGGAAGTCCAGAGCGGTGTCATGTGAGAAGTGATCTGGACTCGCAGCACAAGGGCTGGCTTCTCCCTGGTACCTGTTCTGTCACTGTGGTCTCGAGTAGCCTCTCTGGGGATCTGTCTAGAAAAGGGGCAAGTTGGATCTGTAGCTCTCCAAGGCTCTGCAGTGGCGCTTTGCGTATCTGTGAGCTGACAAGTGATGCAGGACCAGGTCTGAGAACTGAGAAGTGGACCCCCTTCCGGTCAACTGCCCACACAGCATCGGAACCGTGTTCCCTGAAAGGGTGGAGACCAGCACATTTTCTCACTAATTAGATAGTGTTAACTTATCAATTTTGGATAAGCTTCTATGCATGATGTCCCGAATTGCTCCCTAAAGTGTTCATTAGTCACTTCCCTGCAGCTGCCGTATTGTTTTTCAGATGCCAGCCAGGGACCTGGCGTTTTCTTTGTCCCAGAACAGGCCACGCGAGGCTGAGCTAGTGACTTTGGCATTGGTCAGAGGGACTGACTAGGGCTGAGTGAGGGCCTCGCCCTCTATTCCTGCCAGAGCCATTGTCTTTCACTTGGCACCACAGATTCCTGCGGGATTAGGCCACAGCTAACTAGCTCCGTAAGCATTCATTAAGCACTCAAGTGTGCCAAGCACTTTGTATCTGGAACTTGAATTACTCTCTAGGTCAGGAGGAGGGGTACACATAAGGTCACACTAGTATTAACATACAACGCATCACAGCTGCAGGCTCGCTTCATAACCTCCCCTCGTTATTTAAGGGAACTTCATAGCCTGGCGGGTCACACGTTTGCAATCAGCGATCTCACGATTTCTTCTGCCCTTCCGCCCAGCACGCCCTGGAATGCTGCAATCCTTACTCTGACCTGCAGGTGGCGCTGTGTCCCCAGGGTTGAGGCAGGCAGCAGCCAGGGGGGGGCCTCAGGCTGGTACAGTTTCCTCTTTCTGGGGGCTTGGGGCTTGGGTGCCTGAGAGCAGAGCCTGAGGAGGACCCCCGGCTGCAGCTCCCAGGACCAGTTGGGCAGTCTCCAAAGAGGGGGAGCAGGACGTTTCTCTCCCCTCCTTTCTCTGTCGGAGTCATCAAGAAGCTGCTCACGAAGAGGTCTTTTGAGAAATCCAGAAAATTCAGGGGGAAAAATTTCACATTTTACCCCCTCATTTTCCAGGCATGCACATCTTGAAGTGTCCCAGCCAGGATTTCTTTCAGCAAAACGAGATAATGCATAAAGCTTCACATGCTCTTAAAATAATGGTTTCACACCGGTAGAGGAGGCTTTAAAAAGGGTCTTAGAGATTACTCCCTGGTGGTGCAAGGGTTGAAAGCACAGTACCAAGAAAATGGCTGCGGCTACTTCAGCACTAGCTCCATCCCAGGGAGCTGACCCACGGGGCGCAGCAGACCTCTCCTGTGTCCCCCGCTGCTCCCCTCAGCAGTGTGCTTCATCGATCTGCCT